AGGAGAAATTCCCATGCTTGGATTTTTATTATTTATGCATGAATGCTTCTTCAAGTACTTGGTTTTGGTTTGGTACATCAGGGGCTGATAATGCTGATCTTTCATAATAGCATAATTATTGTCACTGAAGCAGACTATCTCAATCCTGGCGAAAGAGATATATTCTCAAGACTACCATGGAGCAATTCTTGCATAAATGTAGACTGAATTAACACTGTTTTTTTTTAAAAAAAACCATTAAACTATATAAAATGGAATTGGACTATTGCAGGCTGCCTTTAAATCAAGCAAGCTAGCATGTAACTATGTACTGACCACTAGCCACCAAGACACCATTAAAAACAACGATCTGGTGCTAAGTCTAATAGTGGTCTATTGAAACCATTTCGTCCTTCATAGCTCACTCGTTATTAGCCTCCAATGGTTATTAGAGACAGAATACCTTCACTACCATGCCACATAGTCCTGAAATTCTTCAAAACTCCATCTACCCAACTAAACCAAGAGCAGCAGGCATATGACTGGTGTCCTCCACTGAATTTGGCCAGAGTGGAAAATTCAAAAGATAACACCCAAGTGCAAGAGATCTTCCAATGAGAGCCATTAAAACAGAAAGAACACCTGAGATACATCTGCCAAGAACATTTTGCTTCGTATTTGTTACAAAACAGCCCCATTTTGATCTGTCTCTTAAACAGAAGTTCTACAGCATCCATGTTTAGACACAAACTTCTCTAAATTAGTGATTCCTTGTACAGAAAGGTTTATGGGAAGGAAGATTTTGTATAACTTCAATAAATTGTATCTCTCAGTTAGAAGAAAAACCAGTAGGCAATAGCATTTTACAATTCACCATGAATATATATCCAGTATATATCCAGACAGATTTGTTTAATATATTGTTATGTTTTAGCATCACTCTAACCCTCTTTTACACCTAGTAATAGATTATGCCATTGTTGAATCCACTGTGTTCTCAGCTTTCCAAAAGGGGAATAGCCTGTAGAACCATCTCGTAATGAATGGGAATGTGAAATAACTGAAAATGAAGGATCATATAGGTAGCTGGTTGAATAAATGCAGGCACATTAGCAACAAAATGGGGAAGGCTAGAAATACGTGAATAAGAAATCCTTAACAAGTTTTTCTAAAGCAGCGTATGTTTGAAAACAAGTGTTGCTTGCAGTTTCTTCTATTCTAAAAGAGAGCAGCTTCCATTCTCTTCCTGATTATCCGTATATAAAGCAAAAATAATTTGGTCTTTGTCTCTATAAGTGCCAAATCAGTAAAATAAATTAAATTAAACCAGGAAATTAAATTTTCAGAAATAATGGCTTCAGTATATTTATGCTAAATGAATAGTGTTGATAGGGTCAGTAACATGAAACAAAACTAGAGTGTAGCATTTTGTGTGCTTTGCTTTGCTTTATTCTTTCTTGTCACTCAAAATGGGGTTTTTTTGCAGCCATCTCTGCTGTGCAAATAGGAAGAACCACTTAAGTGTAGCTGGTACAATGTTTTAAGAAATCTGATCCGTTCTGATCTGGGATATGGATATGGATACACAGACAGACAGACAGACAGACACACACACACACACACACACAAAAGAACAGGGGTGTTAAATTTGTGGCCCGCAGGCCAGATGCGTCATGCGCTGGCCACGCCCATCCCGTTTAGTGAAGGAGGGGAAAGTCGTGATACGTCACGTGATGACAACGTGTCATTGAGAGTTTGACATCCCTGCACTAGAACCAAAGAGGTATTAGGATATGACTTTTCATTAATATTGAAGCTGGGGGCTTTAATGTTCTATAATATAGTACAGTAAATGTTTTTCTTGCCAATATACAGAGGTGACATTTTCAGCCTCAGGTGCCAAAATAACTTATATATTTTGGCTGTGCTTATTATGGAAGGGGGTGGGGGAGGGAGAAAACCATAGAGAAGGGTGCCATTTGAGAAAGTGACACATCTTGTTGTAATCTGCAGCCTCCCACTTTCCTAATACCTTAGTATTTGAATGCCACTCAAGTTCTGGATATCAGAACTGTTGTTACAGCAGAAGAGAGACCTTCCTAAGAGGGTTAGACTGTTATCAGCAGCAAGAGCGGCAAGAGTTCTGGCAGGGATACACAAAGAACTGCAAACTAAATCATATGTCCCCACAGATTGCTGTGCTGCAATTCATAAAAGCTAAGCAATCACAGCAGTTGCCTGGTCATTGTGTTTCTTACTTAAGTGAAGGAACAAAATCTTCCCAGTTTACACATTACATTCATTTTCACTGCAACCCGACCTCTCTCCTTGTTATGGAAACATACTGCCTCATATATTGTGATTGCTAATTATAGCTTGTTCAGATTTTAAGCTACTTAAGCATTCCTATATATGAAAAACTGGGGCAAAATATCTTAAACAGAACCTAAGAGCTGCTTATTAGAACAGCCTATTAACTCATTGTGAAATCAGTAGAGGTCCTCATGGAGTCAAACCAACACTGTCATTGCACAAAAAGCAGGTACGAACAAACTCAGGTTTCCAAATGCATGAGGAAAAAAAAGTCTCTTTGTAAAGAGGAAATGAAGCTAAGGGAAGAAACAATTTGAAAATGTCTATAATAATCAAACTTGCACAGTATGTTGGTTGATTCTTAAAGGGGGAAGAGTGAAGGGAAACCTAGAAACGGAATGGAGTATTTAAGAAAAGGATATGGTTTATTGATAGCAACCAGAGGTGGGATTCAGCAGGTTCTGACCAGTTCTGGAGAACTGGTAGCGGAAATTTTGAGTAGTTCGGAGAACCGGTAATAAAAATTCTGACTGGCCCTACCCCCATCTATTCTCTGCTTCCCAATTCCCAGCTGATCGGGAAGAAGTGGGGATTTTGCAGTAACTTTCCCCTGGATTGGGGACGGAATGGAGATTTTACAGTATCTTTCCCCTGCCATGCCCACCAAGACATGCCCACCAAGACATGCCACGCCCACCAAGCCACACCCACAGAACCGGTAGTAAAAAATTTTGAAACCCACCACTGATGGCAAGGATCAGTGATCCTGAACAGGATCAACCTGTGTTGCAGCATTTCATGGCAAATCTCATTTATTTGTAAATATTAAGAATAAATCAACTAAATGTAACATTGTTGTTTACAAGAACACAATCCTGTCATTTTGAATGCTGAGACTTTCCACAATACAGTGATTGTGTGATATAGAAAGCTGGATTAAATGGACCAGTGAGTAGCTGGGCTCTTTATTCAATTTACCTTTGATAAATGTGCAATTCACAGTGACAAGGAAGCAGTTTCAAATGTCACTATGTTCTTGTGCTGCAAATTCTTTCATTATATTTTTTTGGGCTAATTAATACTTACTAGCAGTAGCTGCCTTAACTTGGAACAGACCGAGTTAGGCTGAGAGAGACTGGATTCATGTAACATTATTACTTATGATTTGCCAAATAAATCACAGTTGGTTGGGCTTATATGCTAGATCAATGATGGCGAACCTTTTTGGCACCGAGTGCCAAAAAGGGAATGCACGCATGCGTGTGCGCCTGGGCCACAACCCAGAAGACGAGCTGCCCAGGGCACATGCACACACCCGAAAATGAACTTCAAATTTCACCTACTGAACTTCTGGTTTCAGCCAGCTACTCTTCGGATTTCTGGCGTGCATGCACACACGATGATCAGCTAACTGGCCTGCATGCTCACGCAGGAAAACGGAAGACCAGCTAAAAGATTTTCTAGTTTCCAGCACTGCTGCATGCAAAAAGTCCAGCTGATCATCCCCCCAGAAGAGGAACAGGCAACGCCACGTGTGCCAGGTGACATGGCTCCAAGTGCCATTTGGGCACGTGTGCCATAGGTTCACCATCACTGTGCTATGTCACACAAATCATGGTTTACTAATTACAACAGTAATTAAGATACTATGGTGAAAACGAAAGGAATCTTTTTTCAAGTATTATAAAGATTCAAAAAAGAGCAGAGAGCATCCTAATGATAGGGTTTACTTAAATTTGCAAAAATACCCTGTTTTCCCCAAAATAAGACATCCCCTGATAATAAGCCCAATCAAACTTTTGAGCGCATGGCAATAAGGCCAAGCGCTTATTTCAGGGTTCAAAAAAATATAAGACAGGGGGTCTTATTTGGGGGGAAACACGGTATATATTTACAATCTATATTTATTACTTTAACTAAAAAGTTAACAAAACTGAGTAGTCATAATCTTATGACTTATTACATGAACCTTTTTGCTTTACATTTCCCAAAAATAATTATCTCTGTAATTTTTACGTCAGGAAGGAAGGAAGGAAGGAAGGAAGGAAGGAAGGAAGGAAGGAAGGAAGGAGAGAAGGAAGATTCTGTTGTTGAAATGTTCATCATGATGTCACAATTCAAACTCAAGTTCATAAATGCATTGTGATACTACATGCAGGTAGATAAGATACATTTCAATTCTGTGATACATGTTTTATTGCCTTCCTCCACAGAAGGCAAGGGCAAACCACATTCATATTGTTGCCAAATCTCCATAATTGAACTACCTGTCCATGTAGTCTCCAGAAGCCAACTCTAATTCAAAGAAGTTTTAGTTTTACTCTGTGTTGCTAATAATTTTGTAAACTGCTTCAAACAGAGGGATAAAAAAAAGGAAAATTGAGTAAATAGAAGGAAGGTTTTAAAAAGTTTCAAGTGGCATTCATAAATTGCACAAACTCTATAAGCATCAATACTTAATCAAAGTGATATTACTAATTAATGGCACAAGTTCAGATCAATTGATAAAAGATTCAGCTAAGTTTTACAATCCAATTGTTAATACTGTTACTAATTAGCAATGTTTGCTGACTTCCTGTTTTCATCCATACTCTGCCTAATGTCTAGAGGATATACTTTAATGAATGCTATACACTAGATTTTACGGAACGTTTTTCTTGAACAACTAGAATTGCATATAACATCCATCATGATTTATAGATACTTACCTTTAAAAGGATGTTAGCAGACTGTAATTTCTTTGCTTCAGTAACTGCGTAGAGTTCTTCATAATCAACAGGTTTGTACTTTGAACTTTTAAGCCCATTTTTCACACGAACAACCAAATTGTCTAGTAGAGGCATAAAACAATTCAGATTGTTGAATAAAATTAAACATTACATGTTTAACATTAAACAAAAATAAACATGATAGTTTAAAAAGTGTGACATTAAGAGGAAAGTCTATACTGTCTATACAGTTTGTTTTTCTAAACAAAGTTGCAGCCCATGAAAACGATTATGTTACAAATACAAAATAAGAAGAAATACTCTTTAAGGTAGGTAAATATGCAGAAAACAACCTACACAACCAAAACATTCAGGTTTTAATTTGATTGCTTCAATCATTTACTTACTACTTAGAACTTAAATCCACTTAAACTTCATAAAAATGCCCAGTTGAAACTGGGGGAATAGACAATAACAATTTCCCTTAAATCAATGATAGGCCATTGTGGTTTATAGACTGCATGCAGCTGTCTGTCTAATTTCAGTTTTGTGACCCTCCTGCCCAAGACCTGAGGATGATAGCACTACAATTGTTCAGTTTTGATGTTATATTATAGGTATAGTTATCGATATCTACTATCCAAACATTTTAAAGTTCTATGTTGAATAAACCCAAACTGCAAAATCTAGTTCATTCAAAGAGAGGCATTTTTATTTTGCTGCACCTCAGTTGTATTTCTATTTCACTTCTTTTAGGCTCCTTAATTTAAAATGAACAACCAACCCCTATCGATAAGAAATGTTGTATAACTCTGATTTAGATTATTAATATTTGGTTCTGCCTAAGCACGTTATGTGAATAAGGTAAGAAAGTTGGATCCACATTTATTCATGCTTAATTTAAATGCACTGACACTCATCCCATTTCTTTAAATAGATCTGTGTTAAGCATTACCAAAATCCAATCCAATCAATAGTATAACACATGCCTTAAAGAAACCCATCATACTAAAATACACTGGAAAGCATCTAATAGAAATGAAGTAGCCTACAGATAATCAGTCTTGCAAATTGGTTCTGACTAGCTCAAAGAAAATTAACTTATACCAACATATCTACTTAAGGATGTATTGCAATGAATTCTCATAAATGTAATTCATGATGTTTCAGAATCTTTTTTCCAATCTGATAATGTCAATACTATACATCTTGATCTCCTGGCAAAGCACATTATTTTAGCAATCTCAGCCTTTATTTTAAGGCAGTAAATTGCCAAACATGCTAACAGAAAATAGCAAACATATGTCCTTATACTCATTTTTATATACTATCCAGTCTGCATCAGCAAACAATTTATTTAAGACTGAGTGTAATTCTAATCACATTGCTTGGAAATCAGTTCCATTGGGCACACTATTTTCCCTCCTGACTTCTCCTTTCTTCTTCTTCCCTCATTTTTAAGCTATACAGATGTACAATAAAATCATCAATGGTCGCAAGTCTTTTGAAGTGCTAGATACAACACTGAACATTTATTACTAAAAGTATTTCTCTTCCACCATAGAGCAAAAGAACTATTGGCAGTTTAGAACACAATCAATCAACTCAGTAGGTCAAACTTTACAAATGATAAATTCTACATACAGGCAATCCTTGATTTAAAGCCACAATTGAGCTCCAAGCTCCCATTGCTAAGCAAGACAGTTATTAACTGAATCACTGCACTTGTTAAATTATTGTAGTAACACATTGTTAAGTGAATTTGGTTTCCCCACTGACTTTGTGTGTGAGAAGGTCACAAAAGGTGACCACATGACCCCAGGACACTGCAACCATAATAAATACATGCCAGTTGCCAAGCATCGGCATTTTGATAGTATGACCATGGGGATGCTTCAACATTCCTGTGAAAAATGATCATAATTCACGTTTTTCAGTGTTGTCATAACTTCAAATGGTCACTAAATGAATAGTTGTTCAGTCGAGGTCTACCTGTATAATCTACGTGTAACTAAAAGAATTAATCACATTGTAAGGAAAGCTAAAATGCATACATTGAAAAGAGTTTTTTTTTTTTAAATTACCTATATTGCTATTTCTTTGAGTTGTAATAAATCCTTGAAGATCTCTTTCACTCATCTTATACTGTTGAAAAATAAACATATTACTTGTCAAAAAGTGACACCTTTGAATGTATTCACTTGATTTTTTTTGTAAGGGGATTTATTTATACAGGAGTTCCTTATTGATATGAAATCTATTCTAAGGACAGTTATTTTAGCTGTCTAGAGTACATACATTTTATTATGGTTTTTTCCCCCCTAATGGACAAAGTTTATTAAAAGTTCAGCCAAATGTGATGTTATACTTTTGTAATAAAGACTGTTGACTTTACAAAATTTCTTGTCTGATTTTATTAATATTTACTTGCCCCAAACTCTCACTGAATCCAATAAGGCTTTCTACCAAATACCTAAGATCACAGCCTTAGTAATGAAGGATTCAACCATTGGAGAATAAAAATCATGAACCTTATACAAAATTTGCAATGATATTAAACTCCAAAGATTAAATAAAAGCTATAAAGATACTTGTACACAGAGAAGGAAAAAAAGTACGAAACTGAATCTTCTCATATTCCATATTTAACACTGCACTCTTATATATGGATTCCTTTCTATTAGTGAATTTAAGCACCCAATAACCTTACAAATCTTCAGAGGATTTCTTACTCTCCTCAACAACAACAACCCCCCCATTTACACGTATAAGACCATACACACAAAGTTGCACTCTTATATAAGACTCTGAGTTTATTAACTTCTTGAAGACTCATTTAAGATGACTTAAAACCATTGGAATTTCGATGCCTATGAATAATTAAAATATTACTCACATTAATAAGAGGTAAGCAAGCAATGTGTATATTGACTAATGTCTGGAAAAAATATAACCCATAAGATTTAACAACCTATAGCATGGGTGTCCAACGTTTTGGCTTACCTGGGCTGCACTGAGTGAAGAGCTATTGTCTTGGCTGCATATAAAATATATAATATAGTTGTATAACATAAAATAATATACTAAGATTAAAAGTTTACAGTCATGTGGGGCAGCATTACTAACTAGCTGTCCAAGGCTGCATGTGGCCCAGGGGTGGGTTCTAAAATTTTTTACTACTGGTTCTGTGGGCGTGGCTTATTTTGTGGGCATGGCTTGATGGTCATGTGACAATTCTTTAGAATTTAGCAGAAGTACTGGTCTACCAGGCTTTTAACTGCTTGCAGAGCTGTACCAGTCTACTCATTTGTTTTTGCAGGCACTGGTCTACCCATTTGTTTTTGCAGGCACCGGTCTACTCATTTGTTTTTGGAGGCACCGGTCTACCACCACACTGCCTTTTAACACTGATCAGCTGTAGGGTGGCCCTTTGAAGCCCCGCGGTAAGAGTTTAAACAGTTTTTTTCCTTCTAGCCGATCAGCTGGGACTCAGGAGGCAGCAATAGATTGGGGGTGGGGCCAAAAAAAAGGTAAGAATAATGTGCGGAGGGCAGGGGGGCAGAACCGGTTCGGTGATGTCATATTGTCACCGCTACCGGCTCGGCGGAACCGGGAGGAACGGGGAGGAACCCACCACTGATGTGGCCCCTGGGATGTGGGCTGGAATACCTGTCTGAGAGTTTTATTTTATCTAAGTACCAGTATATTCTTAAATTTCATTTTTTACAATGGTGTGTATATCATGGAGCACCCTATTGAAATATTTTTATTATTTAAGCTGTTAAGCATTACCAATCCATATTTTTAACTGAAATAACAAAATCAAGGCAGCAATCCTAATATCAGCAGGACTAGAAAACTAAGAGAAAACTCGATTTTACAGCATTGCGAGTGTTTGCTTTCATGTAGCTCACTTGTTTCACACACTACCTTTCTTCCAGAAGTCTAAGATAGCATTTCTCCTCCAATTTTTTTTTTGTCCAACAACCCTTTTGAATAATTTGGGTTAGGAGAGTATGATTGAGGTATCACTGAGTTTACATAGTTATATAGCTGAGGATGGATCTGAACCTAGCTCTAACCTTACATTTTAACAGCTACACCACATGAGCTCCTTTTACCATTTCAGTTGTGTTTCTCTTGAAGTGCCAGTTAAACGAATGACTAACATGGTTAATGCAACTGCTTCTGAATAACTTCTAGACTAATATGGACTAAATTTAATTTAGATTAAATCAGCAATAGTTAAAAATCAGGAGAAATAAGACTGATCACAGTTTAGCATCTGTATTAAGGTCATTGCGTTGAAAAGGCCCAATAGACCGTGCCCCACCCATCTCCAGTGGATCCACACTGAGTTTTGTGTGGAACTCTTTCAAGTAGTAGGCACTAATACAGGAAAAGGATTTGGCAACTAATTTGATAAAAGCATTATAGATTAAATCTCTACGCCTCTGAGCTGCAGTGGCGCAGTGGTTAGACTGCAGTACTGCAGGCTACTTCTGCTGATCACTGGCTGCCAGCAGTTTGGCAAATCGAATCTCACCAGGCTCAAGGGTAATTCAGACTTCCATCCTTCCGAGGTTGGTAAATGAGGACCCAGATTGTTGGGGGCAATATACTGACTTTGTAAACTGCTTAGAGAAGGCTTGAAAGCACTATGAAGCGGTATATAAGTCTAAGTGCTATTGCTATTATTGTGATTATAGCAGATTTTTTTAGAGACAAGATGTTTGACCTGTTCATTACAGGTATTTTTTCATTAATGAATTGCTCTGGGTTGTATATGATATTTTTGAACGTATGAGATAAATCACTGGCATACTTAATTTAAGTAGGCAGGAAATGTAAGAAGTCTGGCAAAAAAAAGTCATACTTTTTTTTCTTAAAGCAGTTTTGGTTTCACTTGTTTTAAGCTGGCTGTTGTAAAACATTGGGTGAGGAAAATAACTCCTTTCTGGATTCTATCACATAGGATAATTTCTGGCCTATTCCAAATCTTTGATTGTTTTTACAATTTGCTAAATTAGATAGAGATATCTCTGTCCCGTGGTTTCTAGACTACAGGCAGATCATATTTAGCAATTTTTTTTATAGTTATGATGATATGAAAAAGTGACTTTACAACCAGTCCTTCACATCCTTTGCTGGTCTGTGAAGCAATGGAAAGCTGTGGTAAGATCATAAGCACAATCATGGTATCACTTATTTTTATTTTATTTATTTGGTCAAGCATGTATTTTATGACAGATACAAGTGTAAACATAATTATAAATACATGTAAAAGATATGAATAAAAGAAAACATTAGGACAGGGATGGTAGGCATGCTGGTGCACTTATGCACGCCCGTTACAGTCCTCTTAGGAATGGGGTGAGGTCTACAGTAGACAGTCTAAGGTTAAAGGTTTGACTATTATTTTGCACCAATTAGCATTGACTGTTAGTAGATCCCATTCTTGAGTATAAGTATCAGGGAATACTTACAATGTTTCTGAACTCTATCTTGGCTCCTGGCTTCTTGTGCCTGACAATTCCTCAAGGATCAGTTCTCTGCCCCATCCTATTTTCACATAAAAATGAGTTAGTCAGAATTTTGTAGTATCTTATCCAAATATACTATAATCAATATACAATGACATGAAGCTAGATTTTCCTAGACCTTTTCTAACTTGGCAAACCTATTCTATGAGGCAGAAAGTTCCAGAGGTTCTAGAGCCTTCCAATTACAGAATAACAGGGTAAAGAAGCAGGTTAAATTTCCCCCTCTCTCCCAGCCCCTTTAAATGCTTTTACTCCCATTTCAGTGGGAAGAAAATGATTTACGCTAGCTCTTAAGCGGATGTTAACAACATGCTAGCATGTTAATAGAAAACATATGTTAGCATGGCAAAATCATTCCAAGCATATATTCTTGCACGTGTCTGACATACTACAATGCTTGGCACACCTCAGCCAATTCAGAAGTAACCACCCTTAGAATTAGGATGTTAGGATGGGCTTTTTTTATTCTGGATTTAGTCCTCTTTGGGACCTGATCCTACTATGTTTTTAGGATACCTGTAGAGTTTTCATAGGATTATATAAATAATTAAGCCCACAAAATTAATAGATGTTAAACCAAATAGGTACTGTACATTCTACAATTGTCATGTAGAGAACTGCAAAGCATTACACATTTTGAAAAATTTGAATGAATGCATTTCATGAAAACTTATCACCACATTATAAGCCCACCAAACAGCACAAATAAATTAAATTTGTATGGATTAACTTGTTTTTATAACTCCAGTCATTTGTTAGCCAAAAGGAATATCGGATTGTATCAATTTAAAAGAACTTCAGTGAAAACAACAACTATGTTGTGTGCCATTTTCCAGAGAGCTTATGCCATTATCTTCATTAACAAAAAGGTTGCTGTCTTTCCCAGATGGAGCAGGGCAATAACTAATCTGTATTTATTGATGTATTTAAAATAGCTTCATCTGGAGCCATACCACATGAGCCATTAGGTAGATGCAAAAAATAATCTTTGATTGGGCTAACTGTTGTGAAGCAGTTAATATGGCAAACTGGATCCATTCCGATTCTAAAGTTTAAAAATAGATCACCAGAGAAACAAATATGCAGGTTATCTTTATATGCTAGTAAATATGCCAATCAGGAAATAATCTGTGCAATAATTGATCTTAATTCCACTAAAAGCACTTTTAAATCCCATTCTTCTGGGCAAAGCATAATGCCGTGATAGTTTAAAAGATTACAGGATGTACATCTAAGCCTCCTTGCAATCTCTGGGTTATTGTTGTTTTTTTCCTTCTGCTTTGTAAGTTGAAAAACACCTGTCTTGACAATGTAACAATGAAAACTGCTGAAACTGGAAAATCCAGACTCCAGTCCTGTGTTGCATCAGGAAGTGGAAATTCTAACTGGAAAACTTAAACCTTCAGCAGTTCCACCACACACACATGTATCTGAGAAATTGCCTGGGTGCAGCCCAGAACATAAGGTAACTGAATTCCCCATAAATCTGCACCTACAGCAAGACTCCATATAGTTGTTGTTATGTGGGGAATAATTACTCCACCAATCAAGTCCAAAACTGCAAACTTTATCTTTAGAATATGCTCAGAGTATTTGTGGCAAAAGAGAAGGCTATTTAGTATATTTGCCCCGGCATATGGACCAATGCTGCTTTTTTTTCCTGATTGTTTAAATATTAAGATGGGATTATAGAAATTAATATATATACCAAAATATGAAAAGAACAGTTGTGGGTCTAGTGGGCTGAGGGGTGAAATAGATGAGAATAAGAAATAAAGCAAGAACTGTTTCTATTACTGGTTCCAGACTGAAATGGTAAAATTTCTAGAGCTATCCAAAATTATTTTATTTATTTATTTATTTATTATATTTCTATACCGCCTTTCTCCCGTAGGCCTCAAGGCGGTGTACAGTCAAGAAAAATATAGATACACAAACATCATAAAATTGCTAATTAAAATTATTATTATAACATAGTTTGGCCCAATTAAATAGAACCTAAAATTAGATAACATTTTAAAAACATTTTTTTTAAAAAAATGTTTTAATCATGCATTTTAAAAAGATTAAATACACACACACACACACACACACACACATCAAATAAACAAACAAATATCTTGGTTATCTTTGGAATACTCTCATAAAGAAAGTATTACCAGATGAAACATCTAGCTCCAGTTCTGCTAGAATAAATTCTCATGGGGATAATGGAGAAAACTAAACAGTGTTCTACCCATTATTGTGCAATAAAAAAAAAATCTACAACAATAGATCTGAGACGCTGCCAAATGGCCACAAAGTTCAGTAGCAGATTTTCCAAATCCTCTATATTCCCTGAACGGCCACAAGTCATGCTTCAGATGTAGCTTCTCCATGTATCAAAATAGAAATAAAGTTTATCAGGCATAGAAACCCACAATTTTGACTTAATGAATGCTTTCCCATAAAATGAAGTTTTATTCTGGCCTACAAAGCAAATAGAATATCTCCAGGTAATGATGTGAAATGGAGGCTAGATACCAGAACGGACATGAAAGAATAATAAAAAAAAAAAAAAACAGCTTTTGAGACCACCTGGGCCCCAGGGCAAGCTTAGAGGTGAACTGAAACTATAAATATGCAAGATATCACAGTAAAAAAATAAAAGATAACTAGCAACTAAACTCTAAAGCAGTTCCAGAATTTAACCCAGAGTATATATGCGAATCCTTGGCTTTGATGGGGCAGGATCAATGGTTTCATCTAAAAAAAATAAAAGGAAAATCGTAAAAGAGGCATCGAATTACTTGAGGTGGATTAAATAAGATTTACTGAGTAATGCAAAAGTCCTGCCACGGGGTGAAAAGTCAGGAGCAGTGAGCAAGCACAAAATCTTTTGAGGAGTTTCAGGCAAGCCCTGATCCTGTCTTAAGGATGGGCATGCTTTCAAAGTTGGATTGTTTTTCCTACCATGGCTTTTGATCGATCAATTTACAGATACACTCACTAATTATCTGGTGGGTGATGATCTTGGCAGTAAAAGGAAGCATTTGCATTTATCAAGCATTTTCTGTTGATTGAACTTTCTTCAGTCTAATCAATCAAGGAGTTGGATATACAAATGGGCTCTTACTCTTCTGCAGTCCTTCAGACCATTATTTTCCTTTCAAACAGGCTCCTAAGCCTTTGGATCTCCCGTTTTGTTTCTTTTTACTGGAACAAAATAGATTTTTTTAAAACTCTTGTCAAATAATCCAAACAGAAAATACTAGGCGCAAGTATACATCAGCAGAGCACCAGCAGTACATCTGCACAATATTTAACATGTTTCACAAGCGTATGATATATTCAGAAGCAAAAAAAGAGGCATTTATCCCTAAAATAACATTGATTAGCACTGGGGAAACCTCAACATAGAGGGCCGAGTTGTGATTCTAAAACCTGGACACCAGGAGAAGCTGCTGTCATCCTTGAAAGCATTAAGCAAGTCAAAGTTTTAAGCAAAAACTTTGTAGTATGGAAGATTAATGGAAGCATCTAAAAATAGCCGACACCTTTTCACTTCAGCTTCTTCTTTTTCCTCTTTGCTCAGTAACTTTTAATACAGCGTGACATGTGCCGTTATCTAAATCTGCAGCCAGCAAATGGCATAAAAAAAAAAAAATCTGTGCAATGGCATCGTGCCATTGTAGTGGAAAGAGAGGCACTTGACTAGTGTTCTTGGGAGCAGTCAAGGTAAAAGGAACCTACTAAATGAAAAAAAATGGTTTGTCTGTATATTCTATAATGATGATTAATACCATATGACAGGGGTGTCAAACGCGCAGCCCGGATGCATCATGCGCTAGCCATGCCCACACCCGGTTTAACGAAGGGGGAAAGTCATGATATGTCACATGATGACTCCGTGATGACACAAGTTTGACACCCCTGCCATATGACATTGCAAAGATTGTTAAAATGAAAGCAAATTATAGAATTTTGTAATCATATAGTGCAGGGGTCAACAACCTTAAATACTCAGAGCCACTTGGACCCACCAGGAGCCACAATACTTGGGTGGGTGTGGCCAACTTGATGTCACTCACTCCCACCAAGTCACATGACCACCTAGCCACGCCTACCCAGCCACAAAACTATTCTCTATGTCTCTCTCCCCCTCTCCCTATCTCCCCCTCTCCCCCCTTTTTCTGTATCTCTGTGTCTGTCACTCTCCCTCTCTTCTCCTCACCCCCGCCCTGTGTATCACTCTGTCTGTCTGTCTGTCTGTCTGTCTGTCTCTGTCTCTCTCTCTCTCCCATCCCTTCGGGCGACCGTTCTCCCCCTCCCCCTCTCCTCTCATAACTCCCTGGCCGGCTGTGGCTGAGCTGGGAGCATTCGCACGTGCAGGGAGACTCCAGCCTGAAGTGGCAGGAAGCGAAGGCTGCCTTATGTGCAAATGTGGCACAAAGGCAGGTACAGGGCAGCTTCGCTCCTGCACTCTCCGGTGACCCTCTTCTCCCTCCTCCTCTCAGTATGCCCGGGACAGCTGTGGCTGAGCTGAGAGTGTGCACATGCGAGGGGAGACCGCCCTCAAGCAAGCGCCAAAGCTCAGGAAAGGCGCGTGCGGGGCCGTTTAAGGAGGGTGTCTCCACGCGTGCACACACTTCCAGCTCAGCCACAGTCGGCTAGGGGGTTACAAGAGGAGGAGGGGGGAAGGAGAGTGCAGGAGCGAAGCTGCCCTGTATCTGCCTTCATGCCACATTTGGGTGTAAGGCAGCCTTCGCTTCCTGCTGCTTCAGGCTGGAGTACAAAAAAGAAATAAGAGGAGCGTGGTGAACCAGTGATGGGACAGGGAGCCGTGGCAGAGGGCCCAAAGAGCCGCTTGTGGCTCCGGAGCTGCGGGTTGCTGATCCAATATAGGGTAAACCTATGTCCACCACTGGTTTTGTGTGTGTGTGTGTGTGATCACCACCACCACCACCACCATCATCTTAGCCATGGTCTATCCACTTTAGGAGAGACACATGTTTCCAACAAATAAGGTCTTGACCAGTG